GTTCCACCCCCACTGCTATTCCAAACAACGCATTTTTCTGGACCATTCCAATTCGCCTCGTAATTGTAGGGGTGCGTCTGCAATATTACATTGACCGCGAAAGCAGCAACGGCAAAAATACACATTCGTGCATCAACACGGGCATGCCCGCAGACGGCGTATAAAATTGCGTGCGGATTACACAAAGAGAACCCAGTGTTTTGACTGCGAACATGAAAAATCAGCCGATCACAACACTCCGTCCGGAGGTCCTGACCTCCTTCACGGAGTAATGAACTGTCGAAAGGCCATATACTTACACCACTTGCACTTCTTGAAGGAGCACTTGGACCTTTCGTGACGCAGCGCAGCGACAGCGTTGTCCCAGTGCCTTTCCGCCCCCCGGACATCCTTTATCTTATCGTTAAACCAGGCAACGGCACGGTCCCAGTGGACTTCCGCAGAGCGAACCTAGGACAATATCGAAGAATTCAAGGACAATGTCCGGAATATTGATGACCCAACCTTCATGTGAAGTTTTATTTAACAGTGTAATAAAGGAAATTCAATGCGATTCAAAGTAGGAACAGAAGCAAAGTAAGAGTTTTATTCTTTTAAGAGTAAAAAGTATATAGAGTATATTAAGTATATATAATACTGTATTACATTCTCACCTTCCTTTGTGCTTTCTGTATATCTTTCACTGCGATGTCCCAATTGACTTCTGCCTGCCTAACTTTGGCTTTAGCCGCATCTATGGCCTCGTCTGCTTTTTTCACATACCTGGGGCGTAAGGTATGAATGTAAAATGAGTTTCAATGAACTCAGAATATACTCCGAATGAAAATACGTAACATCATTTGGTGACGATGTATGGACAGATGACTTTAATACGCACCCATCGATGGCATTCTCGACTTTCTCTCTCAGCCTGCGGAAGAGGTCCTGTTGCATCTGTCCCGTCACCTGGAAGGAGGCTGTCTTGATGGAGCCGTAGCTGGCCCTCAGTTCTAGGGACGCTCGAAAGAGATTTAGGAAACTGCCTTCGACGAAGAAGCGTGTTCCCTGTTCATCCATGGTGATGTTGACCGTTTGCTTGATGAACAGAACCGTCACACTGCCTTCGATCTCAAGCTTGGCGCGCGGCGGGAGCCATCCGATGTCTACGAGGAGACGCGGCCCTTGTTTGCGGCTACGTCCTTCAATTGCTATCAAGCCATTGGCAATGTTAAATGGTGCGACTGTCATATTGGCAAAAATCGACGTCTTGGTGATGGCAATGTCGGCTGTGACCTTGAAGAACAGGATCTCTAACTTCCCCCGGAAGAAAAACCCCTGACGGATGAGAATTCCGTTCGGCAGCGTTCGCGTTATGGCCGAGAAGGAAAATTCCAACCCTTCGGTGAAGCCTATCTCGTCGAGGAAGCCCGGCAATTTCGGGCGGTAAGCGAAAGCAGCAAGGATAGACGGGATGGTTAGCTTGGTAATGCTGCCTTTGCAGTAGCTCTGAAGAGGGGCGATCCTGTTGATACCAACATACAGCTCCGCCCTGATAGGCTCAGCGTCCGACCTGTTGAATCCGATCACCGCCTGGCCTCCAAAGTCGATCCCCGCTATGAGAATCGGGTCTGGACTGATGGCAATCTCGAAGTTTAGGTAGCCGATTGATAGGAAGGATAGACCAAAGGCGTTATACCACCACCCCACCGACGACATCCCCAAGTACACGCCTTTGTTGGAGAGACCGAACCGACCCGTGAAGAGAAGCGGCGGTTGGTCCAGCTGCAGGGAACCGGTGATGCCGATGTACGTTTCATCTGGAGGCCTCGCCAGCTGTATCTCAAACCCGACATCTCGGATGTCTGCTCCGTGGAATATGCGGATGGGAGTGGGAATAACGGCCTTCATGTACACGCGGTCTATCGAGAGGGCACCGTATATCATGAGCTCGACATGTTGTCCCAGAAGTCTCTTAGCGACCTTACAGAACTCGTCCTGTCCACAGTCCCGAGGGAATTTGAACGAAGCCACGACACCTACACCATTCACAATGTCGATGCTGGAGAGCAAGGGAGCGGAAAAGCGCAAGTATTCGTTCAACTTGGACATATCCGATGAGGAGACCACGAAAGCAGCTCGAGCGTTGGAGAGAATGGAAGCGCCAGGAATGACAGACAAATCGACGTTGTCGTTCGTCAGTGTCTTTACCAGCTCAACGATCCCAATACGCTCCAGGACTAAACCAGTTGCCACGGAGGCAGTCCCTCCCAGGGACCCTACGATAACCTCAACCGTGCATCTCCAATCATTGACGACTGCATCTCCAGCTAGCTTCAGGACAAAGTCTTGCCCCATGACCAAGGAAACGCTTGGATTCACCACCTTAAATGCGTCTAGACCGATGCTTTTCAGACCATCTTCCATAGGACCTGACGGAAGTAGTGCCACTCCAAGATCCTCTATCAATTTTCCGATTTCTATATCGACCTCTGGGGCTCCTTCGGCGATGAACACGTTGCCTCCTGGAGGCTTTGCTATGGACAGCGCTGTTTTTACGTTACCAATGTACCACACGGATGTTAGCTCGAAACTGAAGCCACCGCCTCCAGTCTGGGTGACGGCAGTACCGGGACGAGGTGCTAGGGCGCCGGGAGGAGGATTCAGACCACCCGCTGTGGACTGGCCTCTCACGATGTAAAAAGTCGCGTGGAGGTCATCCAGGACAAGTACGCTTGGTATGATCGTGAGGGATGTTTCTATGGCCACAGGGATTGTAAAGGTCCTTGTGTTCCCGTCGTATTGAAATCCCCGTAAAGTGCTGGACAGAACGTCGTCAAGGGGGAGCTTACTGGGGAGCTCAATAGAAGAGACTGAGTGGAGCATCTTGTTTAAGAGCGACCCTACTCGGACGACAGATCCAGGGAGGAGTTGGAACTGGAACCTCCTCTTTGACACGGCTAGGTAAAATGAACCTAAAGGATCGCCGTCGGTCAACTTCAGTTGGAACACTACGTTGAGACCCGCTGCCACGCCTGGCATCCTCTGCAGAAGCGAGTCAGGGTACGAGGAGACAGAGAAGGGAACCGTTTTGGTGGAAAGAAGAAAAGCTGCCTCCGGAAGCTCAAGATCACTTAAGACGGGCACATCAACACCTTCGTTTGTAAAGCGCCTAATCAAGTCACCGAAACTGATGGACTTAATCGAAAGGGCCACAGAGAATACCTTCGTCTGGTTGTTGCCGAATTTGATGGAATCAAGCGAGGCAAAAACTCGGGACTTTGCGATACCAGTGTCAAACGCCACTTGCAGACCGTACCCAGTGTTACCAAATGTAGCCGTCATTTTTATGTTTTTCATCACAAACTTGTCGAGATTGACACTCTTGAAGGTCTCCCTTGCGCCGTTACCAGGCAGCAAGGATGACGCTAACCCAGAAATGAGCCTGCCTACAGGAATGACGGTATCTACCGGCTCACCAATCACCACGAAGCCTCCATCCGTTTTCTCAACCGTCAGCTGAAACAAGATACTCCCGATCTTCCACAAACCTGTGAACTTCACTTCGAACGATTTAGTAGGAATGAAGTATCTGACGTTTATAGTGAACCTCTCGAGTGTAAGCACAGAGGGGACTATGGTAACGGCTTCTGTAGACCCAGTGGAGATGGACAGTTCTTCCTCACATCGATCAAAGTAGCTGTCGGAGATGATCCAGTTGAAGGGATTCAACGATCCGCCGATGGAGAAAGCGTCACCTAGTTTCCAGTCGGGAAGTGCAGTGTCGACCAACTCTCGCACTGTTAAGCAATCAGCCGGGTCGCTGCGGATCTCTATCTTGCAGTCGTCGTTGTTGAGCTCAAGTTTGCACGTTGTGGAGATGGGGTACAAGCCCTCTATGTCACCCTGTGGCATGTTCAGGAGTTCTGTTGGTGTCGGTAAGCTCTCCCCTAACAAGAAACAAGACATGATGCTTAATATAAACTAATCGAAGATAACAAAATGTCCTTCTATGTACTAATTGATTTTGTGTATTTCAACCAAGACATTTGACTCTGGGAACTTACACGTATAATTATCAAAAGGAACCTTTACAACAGTCTTGATGTGAGCTTGATGTCATTGCTTGGCACCGAGTTGGGTCGTCAGTCTTCCACATTCTATTACCTGTACCTGTCAATTGCACCCCCTCCCGTGAACTGAGAATGAACAACGTTAATGATTACCTTTGCAGGTCTGGATAGATTTGGTGCCCTCTAAAACAGTAGTGAGTCCATCGGGACACGGGGTACAGGCGGTTTTCTTCTCCTGGTCCTGGTAAGTGCCCACCGGACAGGGGAGGCACGTGTTCACGGCGGTGTCGTGGTAGGTTCCTCGGCCACAGTTCACTAAGACAGATCAGTAACTCAACAGTTCTTAATTTTGTATCAAGGATACACTATAGACAACTGTGTCATGTAAACACATTTCCAGTTTGGTTAAACAGGGAGCTTCTTTTTAAACCTAAAGGAAAATTGACATCTATTAGATTATTGTTTTGTTTTCAGCGAAGCAGCAAAATTTTGATAGAGAATGAGGTACTCACAACACAGCCGCTTCCGTCCCTTGCGGTGCAGCACAGATCCCTCCTCGCACTGTCCGTTGCTGGGGCTGGAAAACCCTAGGGAAGGAATTAATAACCATTCAGCGCTTTGTTCTTAGGTGGATTCGTCACTTGGCTCATCATTTTAGCATCATGAAAGCTGACATTAAAGAGGTTGGAAACTTACCCACGCAGTCGACAATTTTCCGGGAGGGTCTCCATTCTCCGTCGGCCTCGCAGGCGTACGTCTGCTGCTCGTCCCCGTCAGCAGGTACCGTCCCGTCCTCACACTCCGGCGAGCAGAACCGCCCCCGCGACCACAGGTCACAGTTACTGTAGCCGCGGTCGGGCGGAATCGGGAATCCACAGCTCTTACCTTTGCAAAAAAAAAAAAACACAGAGGAATATGTTTGTTGTAGTCCGGCTACCACATTGCCTTGTTGCATCTTCAATAAAGTAAAATAAAGTGATATCTCAGGACATGTACATAGCAAAAAAAAGAACATTTTCGTCCGACGTCCAGTGTTGATCAAGGATAACCTGGCAAGTTATCGTAGTTCTTCGTGGTGAAGGACACCGACTGTTGCTCTTTATCAGGCTAGGGATGCTGGAGAAACATAATGCTCTCTCCCTCTCTCCCTCCCTCTGAGATAGAGTTTTAAAGACTAATGTTTATTCGAACTTCAAAAATTTCAGGTTAAACAGACAATGGGTAAAAATGACAAGAACTCACGTTTGACTTCCACTGTAAACGTGCACTCAGCTGAGTTGCCTGTCGCATCAGAGGCCGTGTACGTCACCCGGTAAGTGCCCCACGTTAACGTCTGGTTGGTTTCTTGGCTTGACCACAGGTTGACCACTCCAACATTGTCGGTAAAGATCGGTTCTTCCCACGCCACCCTGGCATAGGTGGTGGCAATCTCCGTGGAAAAGGATGTTGGGCAGCCATGGACCTTGGGAGGCTCTTGGTCTGAAAATTCAAGCACCATCATAGTTTACGACACGCAACTCAAGAGATGCCGTCGCCCCAATCCTACATGTATGTTAACTATAAACCAAACTTGTCAAACGCTCTAATGTACCCCTAGCTTTGTGACAACATATCTCACCTATGCTGACTCTCGAAGATTGTGTTATAAGCTTCAATACATATTAGGTGTATTATGAACTTCAGGTTATAAGGAAACACTCACTCTATACCTATTCTGCCGCTATATTGTACTACTAGTGATTTCGATACAATTTTATCTCCTACGTTTTCTTCATGTGATGCATGTTGTGTCCGTGCATATGGCTTTTATGAAACATGACTTAACTGTGACGTGTAATGTTGAGACACAGTGAAGTCTTACCGTCAACATATATTTTGGTGGAGCAGCTGTCTCGTTCGCCGCCAGGAGAGACCACGGAGAACGTGACTTCTGTCTTCCCCAAGGGAAACGCATTTTCGCCAACCTCGTACCCATCGCTCACCTAATATATCATGACACAAAAGACCACAAAACAACTGTAAACCGTACTCGACTCCATAGAAGGCACTATGCATGGGGATAACTTTCTGATAAATCCTGCTGCATACAATTGTTGTCATAGTAAACTAAACATGTAGGGTTACATTGCACTTACGGTGACGTTTCTGTAGTTGGACCATGGAGTGGGCAGGTCAACGTCTGCCGTGTCATACCCACGGTCAAGGGTGATGAAAACATCTCTGGGACACAGGATTCTTGGAATCGGGCCGTCTGCACGCAAAATTGAAAAAAAAGCACAGCTGCACAACCGCTGGGAATGAGTGGGGCAACAAACAAACCAGGCAACAACGAAAATACTGATTGATCAGGAGAAATTGCTGTAAGAATCCACGTTGTCCTTCTATTACTAAAAGCTGCATTGCACATCGCGTAAACTCTGACGATATTCAAGAAGTGAATAAAAGTTCTAATTTTCCATATAGCGTCGTTGGAACTACGTGGATTGACGATTGGTGATATTTGTCTAACATTCATCTATACTGGGGTCTATAATCACAACTTGGAATTCGTTACATAATCATGACTGAGACTGGTGCCTCACCTGCTAAAGATGCAGGCAGACCACACAGGAGAAAGACAGCCGCGACTGTCAGGATCACCGTACGGCCCCACATATTGTCATCGGTTGGAACCCGCCCTGGGTAAATTTGGTAAACAAAACACACTCTGATCGCATCATTATACTACATGGGATATGGACTATTAGAAGTTAACAACACAAAGCAACTAACCCAAAGTCATGAAACATACAGACACATACTCCTTTTGATCGACACAATTGCAAGTAAAAAGAAAGTTTCACTGCGATATTCCATCTTTACCAATTGGGTAGACCTACATGTATCAACTCATTAAAGTGTTAGACAGCATTATCGTTACACACGCACAGTCATTTGGTAGATCAGTATTGATACATGATTTTATGACTTATTAAAATCTTCCCACCTAGTCACTTCTCGTTGGCCAAATGTCCCCCAAAGAACGGTTCAGCATCAGGCGCTGCAGGCCTGTAGTTAACGGGTGTAACTCCCGGACAATCCGCGCTGCTGTCCGGACGGTAGGCACTCGCAGTTGTTTTGATGTGATCGCAGCGAATGTCTCCAGATCAAGAGCAGATCAAACAAAAGTGGCGGCTTCTCAGTACCCGTCATAAACCCGACGATAAACACTTTGCGCTTTGCTCGACAACACAATGGGCGATCATCATCAGATTTATAACTTAAGTCAGCGACCGATAAGCAATCTCCAAGCAGAGGTAGGGACGTCCCAGCTCAGTCTCACCACTTGCTTAAAGAACTTCACTTAATCATGCAAATACATGTATATCATATGTAGTAGTACTACATGTATATGAGTCATACATACGTAGAGACGTAATGATGAATTTTCCTTAACATCAACAACAAACAAAATGCATTTTGTGGACAATGTTTATTCGATAGCAATCAAAATTAGACTACGTAATATATATTTTCTAGCAATATTCTACGATATGTGTTCACGTTAGTCATGTACATGTACATGCCACGAACCTTCAGTTTTCTCTTTATAGGCATGTTGTATGCATATGCAGCAGTGACCTTTTCTCGGAATATTTGGGTATCTATTAAATTCCTTTTCTATACCAATGTAGAATGTAAGCACCATGATTGGATAAATGCTGTACTGTAACGTTTTTGGCATCTAACTTGTATGGCTTGGACACGAGCTGCACATGAATTTACCAAGCAATTACACACAATAGTGATTGCTCTTGATGAAGAAACTTAAGGAGCATGTAGAATCCAGTGATGTAAAAATACTTGGTATATAGCACAATGAGGCTGTGAAGAATGACATTTTCTTTTGACGATCCTCTTCAACATTAGGAAGTCAACACAATAACAATTTAAGTATTGACCGAATTTGCTGCCCCCTCTGAAGTGGGGACCCAGACATATTGTTTGCAGTAGGCTTGACTCAGGGGTACACAAGGACATTGTATGTAAATCCAACAGTAGACATTACAATGTATACTGCAGGCATAGAATTACATTGTACAATGCATCGTTTTTTCCAAGCATACATGGGCATATAGTTCTTAAACACTACACATTTCAGCAAACCACAAGATGGTCATTCAGAAACAGGTTGCTCACAACTGCACTGCATCGGATCTTACATGGTTCTTATACGTGGTTGTCTTCAATCTATAGGGGTTGCATATAAGGGCTGATAATGAGAAAGGTTGCTATCATGATCAAACAATGGTAGAAATGTAATATATATGTGATATAGTATAAAAAGATCCTATAAAAGATATATACTATAAAAACTTTGGTATATAAAATATTGTGCTCACTACTTTCAAGTGGCTATTACAAATGTATAAACATACAAATACATTGTAATACTTTGTCATCAATGAAACCCTACAAACAAGGTCTAGTTGGTAGACTTGGAAAAATGGCACATAAAAGTACTGGCATATTTATCCTAATTTACACCTTCTGTAAATGTGTTACTAACGCTTTATTACACCTACATTTGTACCTAAGGGCTTGGTACTAAGGTGAAAAGAGTTGGTCCACATTAGTACAACTTCATGACCTTTGAGGGGCCCTTTGTTATGGATTGATAGGATCACATGTATGGTACCAGAACAATGCTCCGTCCATCATATGTGATGTAAACTTGTCCTGTTACAAGCAAGTTTTACAACACATGGTGTATACTGGGTGGGAGCCGTGGTTGCAAAAGGCTCAGAAATTTGGGCCATAATTCTTGGCCTTTAAGGTCTCTTGAACACTCTGTGTCCCTACCAAAAGCAAAATGTATGTGACAAAGCTACATGTAGCACCAAGCCCTTGTTTTGTATACATCGTACTAATACATTTGTATTTTCATTTACTATCATGTCTAACCATCATATACCTTTAACCATGTACTTATGGTGATATTTCTGAATAGGATTTGTGATTATAATAGTTGTGAATCAATATAATTGTGTGTTGAAGCTTTCAATGGATTGAATATATGTTGCAGAACTTGGTCTTGTACAAGGCTGGAAGCTGAAAATAAATGAGATAGATCTTTATTAGAACAAAGACATATCTACATTTGATACATACATATTAAGTATAAATCAAATGACTGCCATGAAAAATTTAATTCATCAACATCATCATCATAGAAAGAGTTTATCAGGCACGGTACCTTTACATTACATTGAAAAGAAGAAACTGACTTTTAAATTGTATACCGACAATATGAACTTAACATATATTTAGATAACTACATTTTTCTGTAAAACATTAATAGAGCAAGAACCTACCTAGTCCTCTTCTCCGTTTAGATTCTCTTCCATTCCCTCACTCTTGGTGGTGGAGGAGCTGCCGCGGCGACTGTCGTGCCCTTCTCGTTCCACGTGCTTCAGGTTGGCGCGGAAGTCGATAATTCCCGGCTTGGCACGGCGCGACTCCGCCAGGGAGTTCAGCATGTTCTCTGGGGTCACCTTCACTTTCTTCAGCTCAGGCTTTTTGCTGTTTTACAATTGCAAAATGAGACAAATAATTTACATTTTGGATGTTACAGAGAACTGACAAAGGAACCTCAAATTATGTAAAAAATGGGAAAATGTCACATGTGCACATATAATAAGAAATCACACTTCAAACTCACAATCTGCCAGTGAATGACATGATGCGCATGTTTAAGTCCTCAATCTGGAAAGCAGATGGTATAGATTGGTGACTATTTGTAATACAATCAAAACTATTAGTGCTTACAATTACCTGGAGCAACTCATCTGAAGATAATCTTGTTGTCATACAATGCACTGTAAGACTTGAATAATCATAACACATTCTATACTCACAAGCAATGATTTTTACCCAAAAGCAAAATTTGTACAAAGTTGTTTTTCTAGACAGTTACTGCAGGTACAGTACATGTACATGTAGGTGTCACTGTAACAGTTTTATATACATGTACCTCTTGGTCATTCTTCTTGACTTTGTACTCAGCTTCAAAGCGCTCCTCTTCTGCCTGTTCTATTTGGGCATGTAGATCACGACAGAGAGACTCCAGGGCATCCTTGGATAGGCCTCCGATCTTCAGAGGTGGGAGCACATCCTAACAAAGGGCAAGTAAAGAATAATATCAAAATGACATCTTAAAATTTGTTGGGGGGAGGGGGGTCTCAAACCTCCCCTGTGGTTGCTTCATTTTGGGTTTATTAAACATTAGGAACCCTTTTCCCATTTTACAGCCTTAAAGTTGACACGAACAGCTTCCTAAGGGGAAACAAACTCTCCTACATCTTTACCTCCAGATATTTGCGCTTGGCAGATTCCCTCTCTGCTGCCTCCTGGGCCAGGTCTTCTTTTGCTTTCTTCAGCATCAAGGTCTAGAAAAAGGCCAAGATGAAGATCAGTATGACAATATTAAGTATTTCAGTCTACATTTTAAAATATAGCTGCCACAAAATAGTTTGTTGTTTGCAATAACATTTTGAACACCATTTAGCTCAATTTTGCTAAGGGCATTACGCTTGTATGTTGTCATCTAAATGTTTAATTGGAGGGTATGTAAAAAAGAGTACACAAGGAATCATGTTTACAGGTTTAAAAACACTGGCAACTTCAAAATTTCGTATCTCCTTCCATACATGAATGTAAAGCAGGAAATCAATTTTTCAAAGAAACTAAAAGGAATCAATCAGTAAACCACACTGCCACAAGAAACACCATTACTATTTTGATTAATATATAGTAGCAAGGAATAAAAAGTAATTAATCAGCAAATCAAACTGCCACAAAAACAGCCTGGCATATTATTATCATGATAATCATTTGTAGTACTTAGTAGTAAGAAATCAACAGTAATCAATCAGCAAATCACACTGCCACAACAGCTTACAGCACATTACAACTGGCAAATCAAGCATTGCGAAATGTAACAGAACAGTGAGGTGTTGCAGCTACCTGCTGAATGGTACAATTTAGCAAAGTGCAACTACGTACGGTGCACAAATACTAGTAGAACAGTGAGATTACAAAACAGGACAAAACGACAATGAACAGGTTACAGCTAACGCAAACATTTATATATTAGAATTTTTTTCAGCAATGCCAATGGTTACTTTTGCACCTCAATGTTCTTGACAATAAGTACATGTAATTGATGTTACCAGCAACTGTTTGGCTAGAGATTGTAAATGATTGGTTTATTTCCTTCAGGCAAGGAGGGTGCAACACACAAGGTGACTTTATTGTGTACAAGGTTGAGGGATAAGTGCCTTGGTGCAGGATTATAATAGCACAGGTGCAGTGCAAGGTGGTGAGAAATAACACAATAGCTTTAAAAACAACTTTGATGTTCAGCTTGCGGCCGGCAGACAGCTTTGACTTGAAGGACGATAGCGACGCTTTCTCCTGGGTCTTCTCTGGCGGAGGTTCAGAGTTCTGGGGTACACCATTGTAGGGAGTCAGTTGGCAAGGGGAAGGGTTAGTGCAGGACAAGACAATGTCTAAAGTTAGGTTTCTTTGCAGATGAATTGAACAAAACTTTTCTCCAACCAATTTGCCAAAAACATAAAGCTAAAAGAGTTCAATAGATTCTTTCTGCATGTAGCAAACAGTCTTTATGGCGGAATGAGTTTTAGCAAAGGTGTTGGAGAAAGTTTGTTTTCTTTCATCCCACATGCATCTACGTGTACTACAAGTACAAGCAGGAATCACTTAGGTTGAACATACCCTGGCAAGGTTTCAACAGTGTGTTTGGAAATAAACAAAGTTTATAAAGCAAGGGGAACACTCAAACTCAAAATCTACTAGTAATTACAGAACAACAGCGTACATTTATCAGCATGCTGACATATTGAATGCACATCACACAGGGACTCAACCAAGCAGTGTAGTATTTTGTGATCAGGAATGATGATGAAGATGAAGCTTTAGGATGGGAAATAATTATAAGGGTGCTTAAGTGCAACAATATATGACTTTGTAAACTAATGTCATTAGAAAAATATCACTGAATATATATGTAATAGTTTCCACCTCCTGATGAAAATACAAATGTATGTTGCTGGCTTGATTGATATAATTTTTACAGCTATTTTCCTACATCTGTTCACAATTAATTATCATCTTTAATTTAATTAAACCTTAGTTTTCTTTCTGTAGATCATTGCAAAATATAATATTATCAACATCAATTTTCAAACTTGAAAGTACATATATAGTGTTTTAAAAGTGTCATGATCATTCTTTTAGCAATATGTGATATATCATAATCTCTCAGCCACACTTGACAATTAAGAGTTCCTGGAGACTACAACATAAAGTTACATTCACATATACATAACAGTAATGCTCTTATCTAACATTTATGTACAGTGACACCAATTCTGTGAATATACCAAGATGCAACAATGATGAAGCTTGAAAAATCATCCATGGTGCAACATTGTGCAAGCATAACATCAGGATGTGGCTGAAAACAAACGTGTGCAACATGCAGTTCACTGTGATGCAGTAAGGGGGCAACAGTGCACATAAGGTGGGCTGGGGTGTATGTACCTCATCACCCATTTCTTCTGCAGGGCTATGGGGTCTTCCCTTGACCATAGGTTGCTCCGATTCCGCCTGTTTTGCCTATTAGAGGTTCAGGTACATTATATGACACCACTAATCTCCATCTGACATTACAACTTCATCATAACACTGAGGATATAATATCTGCTACAGCTACAAATGTATAGTTTGTTTTGATCCAGGGAAAGTTTGATATGGCTCACTTATAAGTTATATATATACCATCCTAGAATCACACAGTTCAAGTCACCATAATGTACCTGTACATATAAGGAAGGAACACAAAGTACCTGTACATGTAAATGTACTTAGAAATCCTGAGCTGTGAGATTCAGCATTTATTTCCTTTAATCCTTTCTGTAACAGTTACTAGTACATCAGCAAGAAGGTTGTAGTATTTAGGTTCAGGAAAAAAGATGTTGTGTTTTTGGTTACTTGACCTACAAAAATACCAGTAGCTACCGACCCTAAATTTTTCAGGACCATTATCAAGACAAAACATTTAATTTTCCAAAAAGTATTATTAACCAAGGAGCTTCAAAGGTCAAACACACTAGTGTTTGGACCTCCTTGCAGTAGCATAGCATATATCTGTTTATACAGGAAAGTTTCTGGTGACCTGTATGTACCTTTGGTTGCTCTGCCTTCCGAGACTCTTCCTGTCTCTTACGCATCTCAGCCTTCTTCTTGCGAGCCTCCTCCTCGCGGCGCTCTTTTTCCTCCTCTTCTTGCCGACGCAACTCTTCCTCCTCTTCTTCCTGGCGCCTGCACATGTAGATACAGCCCCATTAACAGTTTATATTTATTCATTCAGTTGCAAACTCTTGCTGAACGCCTAACTGAAAGGGAACACACAGGCTGAAAACAAGTGTGTGCAACATGCAGTTCATTGTGATACAGTAAGGGGGCAACAATGATACAGGTATGAGAGTCTAAACTTTCTTCTCATACATGTACTTACATCACTCTCAAAGTGACACTTAGTTCTTGAAATTCAGCTTTTAGCCTGCCATTCCTTTTTTAACTCTGAAGACTTCTAATTATTATCATCTGATCGATGATGAAACCTTTTTTCTTCCTCCTCCTCCTCCTCTCTCCTTCGTTCCTCCTCTTCTTCTTCTTCCCGCTGCCTCCGTTCTTCCTCCTCACGTTGCCTCTTTTCCTCTTCTTTTCGCTTCCTCTCCTCCTTTTCATAAAACAGAATTAAATGTTACTCTTAATATAATCTCTGAAATTTGATAACAAAAAGTATCACTTAAAAAGCCCTTTATATATACAGGATGCCTCAGTCTACATGTTGAGTGTCACTGTCAGTCCTACCTCTTCCTTTCTGCGCTCTTCTTCTTCTGCCTGTCTCCTGGCTTCTTCCTCTTCTTCCTTCTTCTTCTTTGCCTCTTCCTCAAGTTTTTTCTGTCCAGGTGTAAAACAAACTTCTACTATTAATACTGGTATTCCTTAAGGCTGTTTTCATCCAACCGGTTAAAGATTAAAATTGTGTAACTGGACAAATCCTACAGAAATATCTTCAATTATATCTATAAGTTTAATGTGCCTATTGTACAATCATGTACTAGTATTTCAAATGTTGTCTAAATCTATTGAATCTTAATCTTTGAACTCTTTTAGAACATAAACAAGTGTCATGTTTCCTTAACCTGTGCAAAAGCTAAAAGGGCAAGAATCCTTATCTTCAATTTAAATAAATGTATAAAGGCATGATATTTATGTTGATAAGTGACTATGTTACTGCATTAAGTTTGTTCCTTGTGGAACTAAAAAAGAATGTGCTATGGTTTTTCTTTTTGTTAAATATATTTCGACAATGTCAATAAAAAGAGAGATACAAAATATAAGCATGTTTCCATTTTCATAATCTGGTTTTTGCATGGAAACAAATTAAACAACAAACATTAAACAACATCATTTCTGCAAGAAAGTTTGCCAAAACAACAATAGCTGAAGACAGATGCTGGATGTTGACATAGCATTGCTGTTAACTCTCCTGTCACACCTCTTAGACATAATCATGCCCCAAGACTACATGCCAAGGCACTTTGAGACAGATGTGGGGGCAGTACATTCCAGTGATGCCATATAAGGTTGGGAAGTTTGCTTCCCCAGTGTTGGGAGACTAAGTGAAGGATACAGGGCCAGTGACAGGTCAGTGTAAGATACAACACAGGGTGCAGAACAAGGGGACCAGCATTCCTACAGATACACAGCATGTATGTACATGTACATGCCATGTGGTAAAAAACTGAAGTAGAGTACAGTTCACCATATATAGCATTAGAAACACTGAAGTATGCCACACATCAGACTAGCACTCATGCATGTCACATAAAAAGTATGTGATACGTTAATGCTCAGCAAATGTTATTTTGTACATAATGGATTGTAACTATAAGATTGACAGAATCGATGAAACATTCCTTTAATAGGAGGCAGTTTTTTTTTAATTTTCTGAAAGCTCTCTAGCCAAAGTGAACTACAGTTTCTCTAGTGATGTTTAACCTTTTGCACCCTCATTTCTTCAATTGAAATGGTACATTAAAAACTGTAAGATAAGCATAATTGGGTTAGCAAGAAGTCACAGACACAGACAAAACAACCAATAAACATGTGTTTACCTTAAGGAATATGCAAGAAGATCAACAGTACAAGCTTGGGACTGCGCTCCAACATTGCAGCTGAAGAAAGGAAAGGCTGACAGAGGGACAGAGCAGTAATATAGCCGCAGGACTCAGATTGTGACACACCGCAGCTTTCACACAGGCATGGAATTACCAATTGTCACATCCTATCTAGTGTACAACATGCAAGAGTGGGTAACATAGCATATACATAGATTGGGTAGTGATGCACCAGGAAAGTGCAAGACACAAACTTAAGAAGCTTTCGAAGATACATGTAGTTACATAGTACATGTCCACATTTTGTAAACATCTAAGGCCACACCAATTTAATTTCTTGGTTAACGGATTCGCCTCTTCATTTTTTTCTGATTTGCAAATAAAATAAAAATTCAGAATCAACTGCAAAATGCTCATATTTTGCCCTGAACAGTTGAAAACAGTCGTTTTCATCCTACTTGTTACAGTTATTCCATCTTTCAATGCAATGGTATCATTAAAAGTTCAAAATTCATTGTTTAAATTTTGAACCAGCCTGGTGTGTTGACTTCATGGCTCCTATCGTACCATTTTGGGCCATAATAGGATGCCTAGGCCTGTTTTTATTATTTTTTTTTCGCCCGCCCGCTCCATTATTTTTCTGGAAAAATCCGTTAACCAAGAAATTTAATTGGTGTGGCCTAAAGGCAACATGTAAAGGACACCACAACAATCAACGATACAACAATCCACACTATCATACTGTAGCTAAAATCTAGGAAAACACAAACTTGATTGGCAGACTAACCTGGCTGGCAAGACGATCAGAGTCATCCTCGTTTTCTTCCAGCCCTTCTCTCATCTTCCTACAGTGTCAAGAACAATTTTTTTCAGTTTGCAAACTTTCAGTGTTTGTCAGAAACATTGTCATGAAAGAAACCCAAAGCTTTTGTTCCACAAAGGATAACCAACTACTTACCTACGGCGCATGCGGCGGGCTTCCAGTTCCTCCTGTGTTAACAGAGCAATCAAGTTTTATTATCAAAACAGTGACTTATTTTGACATAATCCAACTGCATAGAGAGCCACTCTACACTGATAATAAGTTTCATAACATAGGTGTGTCTGAACATGTAGTACATGAAATATACAAGAAATAAAACAAACAAATGTAGGTGTGTTGGAACAAAGGGGTTGGAACATATTTTTTCTAATTTGGGTTGTCTCGGTATGACGAATGCATGAAGCTATACACGCACAAGATAAACTGAAATGATGCTACTGAAATTACAAACCTGCATCTTGCGGGACTCCTCTTCTGCCGCAGCGTTGGCCGCCTCCCGCTCCCGACGGCGCCGCTCCCGGGCCAACCGTCGCTCCTCATCAGGGTCCACTGTAGGAGCCGCGCTCGCCTCAGCTCTAACAGGTCAGACACAACTTCAGCAGTTAGAGCATATCATGGGCAATAGAAACTACTATTAACAATTTTTGCAACTTTGAAGAACAAAACGACGGCCCAAAATTCCATATAACATCTCTGAATTTCATTACCAGCCGCAGCAATGCTACAAAAGGAAAAAACAGGTTTTATAGCTTTGCTACAGGTAAGAAGTCACGTAACTTTGGCATAGCCAGTGTGAAGTAATGTAGTATCTTATATAAATATGTCTTGTTGATTGAATTTACCAGTACTATAAGTTGTGACAGTTTTAACGTCTTAAATTTCACTAAACATGCAAGGTACACTTTCCTTGATAATAAACACATAATGTATTGCAATGCCACAACAACAGAAGCAAGACAAACACAGCAGAACAAAATGGATTGCACGTCATTAGTGATGCCAATGAAGCTGTATACTTCTATCGGTCAAGTCCCTGTTCATGATGTCCAGTCACAAATTCCTTTAACGTACGTAAGTACCCGGTAGTAAAGATGAAGGTACATTCAGTCTTAAAGCAATCCTGATAACAGATGGTACAAATATTGATTGCGAAAGCTATTCTTCCCAAACAGCTTAACTTACTGCACAAAGAATTACCATTGCTTTAGTCCAAAGTAGGTCCTATATGTGCAAACACTTGAACAGCCTGATGTATATGTATTTGCACACAGTTTTCACATCTAATGAATCAGATACATCTAAAAAAAATGGAGCTGAACATTTTATGTCTGACCAGACCTGCTTTTCCTTTAAATTTCACCTGGTAATTGTATACAGAGTTATTTTTACAGACTGATCTTGTACAAAAATGTACTTTCACTGTGATGGAAAAATAGGGAAAATATACATGTATGACTTAGTCTACATGATGGTGTCAATGGCATATGCATGGATGAGGCAAGCATGACTTGTAACAAGACGTTGCATGTAGACACTAAGGGGTTAGGAGCTAAGTAAGTACTACTGAGCTGAGCCTAAACACTCTGGCATCTATGTCACACACATATATGTATAGATAATGTACTATACAGCGTGGACAGCAGTAGTTTGTGCGTGTCTTACTATTAGTTACTAACCTATAGCACTGCACACAGGAATTATAACTACTAGTACATTGGTTGGATTCACCAGGTATTTGTCATGAAGAGACAGCTGCCAGGTGACTACATTGCACTGTGAGTGATTGGCCATTTTTTCTTGCAAAATCAGAATGCTAAAAGCTCTAATCACAGCAAACACGCATGTACAGTGTATGATTACACTCACTGTGTGGATGACTCTTCTGCCTCACTGTGAGTTAGATACAGAAAAAAATACATGTATCTTCAGAGGGGGTTAACATTACATCAAAACTAAATCTACAGTCTGCCAATCAATCAATCAATCAATCAACCAATCAATTAATTAACCAATCAATCAATCAACCAAAAGTTTTTCTTATTGACTGAGTCTAAACGTCTTAAGAAAAAAACTTTTGAATCTTAAGAAGATTGTGATAGAAAGAATTGCTAGGATGACATGAAGTAAGTAAGGGCTATAACAGGTGTGTGGAGTGAAAGAATTTCGTTAATCATTGGTCAAAAGTCAGTCGTCAACTTTCGTAAATTCATGTGTCATTCCAGAACCTTCGGTTTCAATGGATACACAACAAAAAGCATGTTCAAATCCATCTATATGTACTACTAGTATAGTATGATATACTATCACTTGTGAATTGACGTTTCAACTCCAACCCAATACGGTACAAGTTGGTAGGGCAAAGAAACACAACGGTACTGTTAATACAATTGTCTATATCCGGTGTTCACTTATGAGGGAACATTATTTGAAAACTAAAATTTGTTGATATACGAATTGGTAAGAATTGTAGCCTTAAGCTAAGCACTCACTCTATCTGTCTTCTCCTGCGGCGCTCCTCACGACGGCGTTCTCGGTCATCAGCATTCATCTTGTCAACTGAAAGCGAAAAACAAATGGAACAGGCCCACTCAGACAGGTACACGTACGTATAAGACTATTCCAAATGTTCATTCCATTTCTATCAGTGTCTACATGTATGTAAAATGTATATTTACACCAAAAGTGTCTCTCCAACACCATACATATGTAGAGTACACGTATGTTGTATATGTAGGTAAAACAATCTGCCCACCAGCTTGAGAATGTAAGATATTTCCTGACACTGTCTGGCAAGAAGTCGAGACGTTGACCTTTTACTCAAACGTTCCTGTCAGTCTGTCTGCCAAGATGTCTTGAATGTGACTGCAGCTAGCTGCTGATAATGTTACATGAACTATTACCAGTAGAACAGCAACTAAAAAATCAGTACTGTACTGTGGTTTTTACATTCTGATACCGTAATAGGTTTGTGAGAATGTCGCTGGACTACATGTAAAAGCCACACAGGCCAGTATCTATAGGCTGTAGATTTTTAATTTTATTAACACCTTTAAAAATATGCCAGGATAATCATTGCTTTTTAACAGTTAACTCTAAATGTATACCCTATAGCTACTGCAGTTTGACAGTTCTTTTTATAAGGATTTTAGTTCCATTTTAGCTACCAGTATATAGGGTGTTTGCTACACTTTTGAGCTGCTATCTGTAATGTTTGTAATGCTGAGATAACTTTGTTTACTCAACCATTAACAAGAGATTTAGGGTTCGTCCATGATCACTTACCACAGCACGTCTTCATAAAACCTGCATGTGATATACTACTTTAGTATTTTTAAATCAAACTGTAATTCCTTGAAGTAGTGCAACACTGCAGGCAAAGTGTACATGCATTGTCATGCTTTGTCTCCAGATAAGCCTACTAATACTATAGTAGGTTGTTCTTTCAAAAGGATCATAGTCACAGTTGTGATGATTATGAGCTGAAGCAACATACCTGCCCCACCACCTCAGACATATATAACAATTTGGCTAAAACTTCCTTTTACAATATATAACTTTGTGATAGATTTTGGATTGAAATAAATACATAAAACCCAGTTTTTCTGTTTGAAACTTTGAGCAGCTGTGGGCATGTGGAAGCTTTCATTGCCACATTCCTGAGGCATGCCAGATCCACATTCCATAGGACAAACATCCTGAGGGCTGTACCATCAGACAAATTCTTGGGGGTGGGGACAGGTGGGCGGCAAATGAGACCTGGCTGAACCCCCTCTATTCTGTTGACTTACAAATACGCTCTTATTCTTAAGACTAATTCTGATTCAAAAATATCATATCCAACATTCCAACTTAAATTGTTAGGCTTACCAGGATTCAGCATCAACATTATATTACTAGTAATAATTTCTGTATATAGCAAATAAATGGACAAACATATATCTAGTGGTTTCTTTTGATTTTATATTATGATTTTATTTGATAGGATACATTCACTGCATTTAACACTGAACTTGTAGTCATCATGATTGTGAACACTGAGCCAGTGCCAATCATCTTGGAGTGGCCTTTAAAAGTTTTGAAACAGTCCCTTGCCCTAGAGCAGAGTTGACAGGGTCAACAAGCAATTGGAACCAGAAGGTTTACAAAACTTATCTCTGGTCAAATTTCAGGGGGACATTGTACGTATATTTTTGTACACTCACTGAGCCAAAGCTAAGTTATACAGTGGAGCATACAAAACAAAAAAGATATTTATTTTGACAATACCTCATGTGATCAAACCATTATTAACCCATTTATGGCTGTTCGACATGTAAGTTTGATCAAATCATTTTCATTTGGTACAATTTCTTTAAAATAGAGCACCTCACTCATGATCATGTTTACAAAATTAACATGTAACAGTAAGAAACGGATGCAGTGGTATTGGCCAGATGTGGTCCTTCAGCAAGGCACGAGGGCAAGACTAGGTTATTTTCTTTCAAGCAATGTCACCTACGATAATTCCAAACACGGTCAATGGATTAAGTCTTGGAGTATGGATGCAAAGTGGCTATTTGCCTTTGTCCCAGATATTCCATAAAGCTACTGTGAAACCTAGATGGCAGGACAGAAGATGAATATAAATAGGCAGAGATAGGAAAAGCACGGTTTTTAATTTAAAGGGATAACGTTAACATTACACCCCCTTTAAACAATCTTAAGTGGCTGGGAGAGTACATTTCACTGCTTGTCAAGTCATCGAAAAAAAGTCCTAAGAGTCCTAAGAGGTTGAATATATGGGGGGACGAAATTTTCGTGACACCTTGTGAACTTTTAAGACGTAATAGGCCTTATTTGGTTTCAATGTTTGCATTCTTCACCCCACTACACAGTGGGGGATTAATGGATCGTACCATTCCATGAACAGGGTAACATTACACAAAACAAGAGTCTCTATAAAATTCCCACAAGTAGCCCCCTTAAAAATCAAAGACACTGAAACATCTTATGTGTGTAAAGAGATATATGCATTTAAAATTCGCGAATACGAATGTACATGTACCTTATTCATGTAGCGCCCCATACCATAATACATGTGAGAGTTAGGGGGTCTTGAAAATATCACAGACACAGAAAAGGGGTGCCTCTCTTTTCTACAAGAAGTTCCCAAACCACCAGCTAATTGCTTCAATTAACATTCTGTTGAGCGTATGTCGATAGATGTTAGATCTATGTGGCTTGACTATACAGGACGTAAAGTTGGCCTTCTTGTTTGTTCGGGCACTGTACTTCACTGTCTAGCAAGCAGAATCCAAGACATGCCCCACCCTCCCAGTCCCCCACAAATAACGGGACATGTCTCACCAAATTATGGGCCACATTTGTTCAAAGCCTACCTGTAAAACGTCCTCTTCTTGTAGAGAAACTTCAAATTGGTCGTGGATGTTGCAAGACTCTGTAGTCGCCTCAGGTACGCCGATATTTATAAACTTTCTTCCGTCCTCCTCAGAGATCCGATCGTGCAGTGGTCGCCCTTATTTGCCAATGGAACACAAGGCCCCCTACGTCACCAAGCGTCTTTGTTTACCTTGCCATTAGAGTGACTCCCAATCCCCAGTGGCATGACGCAAAGTAGGCATACGATATAAATTTGCCCTGCCTATACTCTAGAAAGGTTACAGAGTGCACAAAATCCACCATAGAGGGTGAAGAATATTAGGATATCTTACTGTTTTAGAACGATCAACAACCTTAACTTAACGTTAACTGTTATCGATATCCTTACTCCAGCTCAAATAATCAACCATGCTTGACCATGCCCATCGAGTTGTATGAAGACGGGTCCAATTCCCATGGTCCCGCGATCTTGCGGGGGGTAGAATTTTGGGCTAACAAAAAAGTCGCAAGTTCCTATACAATTTGTAATAATATTTATCCAACATAATGCAACTTTCCATATCCCCTCTTAATCTAGCCATTGGTCGATTTCTCAAGCTAGCCAATAAAGGGTAGGAGGGCTAATGTTAGACAGTCAGAAACTTACTTTAATCTTTTTGATATCATAAAACGTACACATGTACATATCACGTTCAGTAACGCCGTTAACGTTAGAACTATCGTCATGCCGAATATTAGATTGCACGTGTATTTCGTGTTTTTTTTTTAAATGAAGAAAAGTAATCGCTAACGTTATCGTTAATTTCTGTTTAGGCCAAGTTGATTTGATTATATGGATGACATCCACGCGCGCATGAATTTTCGGCCGTTTCCAAAAAAAAAAAGTTTTCAACCATACTGTAAATCGTACAAAACAGTTGCAAAATGAGCAAAAATATACCATAAGTTACAAAAAAATTAATATAAACTATACCAATGTCGTAGAATGCCAAAATCAAACGAAAAAAGACGAAATTGTAAAGAAATGAACTTGAAGACTAGATTATTGGCCAAACCATATGCTGTGCCATTTGCTCAACCCTCATGACCACGTAGATTTCATAATGAAAAGAACTTTTTTTTGCCAAAACTTTTTTTTATTCGCACGCGCGCATCAGTTTTGGGGCTCCCGGAGGATGTCATCCATATAATCAAATCAACATGGCCTTAGAAAAGGATCCACAAATTGTAAGTCACAAATGATGTTATTTAAATGACAGTCAATAGATGGCGCTGTTGCTTCGCCTCTTGCGGACGTCTGCATCAACCGAGCCAACACAGAACAGAGCAAAATTAGCTTGAAACTAGTTCCCGGTTGGGCGCAGTAAGCCAGGATTCCTCCGCACACCTTCTACAAACTCCTTCAACTTCAACGTACCGTCTCCGTCAACATCCACCTCCTGTACAGCAAACATATGGTACAAACTGACGTTAACCATGTGATTCTTGTCAAATTTTACAATGTAAATCGTCCGACGGTCCACTGATCCAAATGGTAACTAACGATGGGAACATGTTATGACAAACATTATTAGCTTCTCGTTGACACTTGATAGCTATCCGATCTATACTTAGACCTGTATAATATCCTTGCTTGAATCAAAACTGTCCGACATTTCCTGTAGATTTATGTACACTGACAAAGTCGCCTTTGTGCTATATTTTGAGGAAGAGTCTTATCTGGAACTGTTCCACCCATCAGGACGGCAAAGTCTGAAATAGTTTCCAAAGCCAATTGTGTGCATCTGACGTTGATAGAAATGCTAAAATTCACATAAAATATTATATAGTATTCTGTTGTCCGTATGTAGATGATCTGTGTACTAGTAGCCGTTCTATCGGCGTATCTTGGTCGTAAAAACGGAATGTAACTTCCCGTGAATATCTTATCTGCAACTGTCTCCAGATGTTCGTCTAATGCATCCACGTTCTCCACTGCCATCTCAGGGTAGCGCAACTCGTGCATCATCTGTCAGATAAAACCGTACATTTATTACGCACTCACTAACGCAAACTACGGCTGGATTAGGCATGTAGGGCCGTCGACAAGCTACTCTGAATCCCCAGATGTAACATAAGCTTTCTATTTCCTTAGGCTTTCGTGTTCTATACTACTGGTGATTGTAAGCATGGATTAGGCTTAATTGCAATAAAGACAATTAACGAGCGAAATACAGCCAAAGGAAAGCTTGAAACTCATGAAAAGACCAAGAGATTTATTCGACCGACATTCGGTGACCGCCTGTCGCCTTCCTCAGAACAAATCTGACTGGTTCACTGGTACATGGTTGCACATTGCACAGCACAGGCGTTGATATATGTAATAGAGATGCGTTCCCAAACGAAAACTATTGTTTGCAAAGTATTTACCTATCCACGCGGTTACAGGAAACAGTAACTACATGTTATTTTCTAGCAACGTATCCAAACATTGGGAACTTCTGAAAATCTGAAAAGACATGGCCTTCACCTTTAAGACACGGACGAGCTCCTGCTTGGTTACGGAACCGTTACTATCCAGGTCATACATGTTGAAGATCCACTTCAGTCTCTCCACCGTGGTTCCCCGCATGAGCGCGCTCAGCCCGATTATAAACTCACGAAAATCCACCTGTGCTCACGTAACAATGTCATATTTTCAATGTTGCAGGTGACGTTGTTTGGCTAAGCTTGTACAATGTCAATGACATCTAAAGACACTTATAAGAGCTTTATTTACTTATCGT